CTTGAGCTCCTGGCCTCAAGTGATCTTCCTGCCTTGGCCTCCCAAAACACTGAATTACAGGTGTAAGCCACCACCCATGGCCGATAATTTTTTTTTATACTTAGCATTTATTTCTTTTACAAGCAAAACAAGAAATATCCTTTTCAGAAATGAAAAGCAAACCAGTGACTAGGAAAAAAAAAAATTTAAGGGGGCATACCAAGCCAGGTACGGTGGCTTATGCCTGTAATCCTAGCACTTTGGGAGGCCGAGGCGGGTGGATCCTGGGTGACAGAGCGAGACTCTGTCTCCAAAACAAAAAACAAAAAACAAAAAAAAAAAAGGAGGGGCATGTCATACAAATGATACTATAGCTGTTTGTATTTTTTTTTCCCTCTTGGAAAAAAAAAAAAGGAGGGGCATGTCATACAAATGATACTATAGCTGTTTGTATTTTTTTTTCCCTCTTGGCCTCTAGCCAACGCTTGGCATGAAACTGGTATTCAATAAATAAAGATGATCCTACAACTCTTTCAGAGGAAAAACATGTTCATTTTACACCCTTATTTTTTCAAGAAGGCTATATTGTGATTTTTAATACAATAACAGAAATCCGAAGATTTCAGAATAAAAACCGCCCTGCAATTATATAATTGTTTCTCCTTTACCTGACTGTCTTTACTTAGTGTACGGCGTATGTGTTTGTGTATTCAATTTGGCTAATGTTAGACTTCATAGCAGTTTGAGTCCTGAACATTTTCTGAGTGCCTTTGAAATCCACTCAGTGGCCATCTCTATATTCTGTACCAAGCAGCTGTATCGGCCTGGCGCAGTGGCTCACATCTGTAATCCCAGCAATTTGGGAGGCTGAGGTCGGGAGTTCAAGACCAACCTGAACAACGTGGAGAAACCCTGTCTCTACTAAAAATACAAAATTAGCTGGGCGTGGTGGTGCATGCCTGTAATCCCAGCTACTCGGGAGGCTGAGGCGGGAGAATAGCTTGAATCTGGGAGGTGGAGGTTGCGGTGAGCCAAGATCGCGCCATTGCATTCCAGCCTGGGCGACAGCAAGACTCCATCTCAAAAAAAAAAAAAAAAAAAAATATCAACTGTATCTCAAATATCCATATGCTAACTGCCAGTTAGTTTGTATGAACATTTACTTCCTCCATGTAGTAGCCTCAACAGTCTTTAGCCCAACAGTCAACATTGTATGTTTCTGTTTCCTTCACTACTTTTGTACTTTTGACTTCCTCTTTTGAATGTGGGAGATTGCAGGGACCCAGGTGCTTTTGTGAATATTAGCACTAGGAACTGGTGCAGAATGGGGGGCCCCAGAAGGCTTCTGATGCTATTATAAGTTCCTCTCTAGTGCAGATTACCTATATTGGTGGAGAAGTCTACTCGGCTTATCCCTGCATGGAAGAGTAGTCCTAAAGGGAACTGCTCTCCAGGACTTCCATCTGTCACTTCCAGCTTATTCTAAAAAGGGTCTAATAACTTCTCCTGTGAGATACCTTATTCAAAAAAAATACCTTCTTGATAGTTATAAAACTGAGATGAGAAAGCAAACACACTCATTTGTATGTGCCTCTGTGATCATTTAAAAATTCAAGGTATCTTTTAAATTACAACAAAGGTAAAACAGAAACAAATGTAAAATTGTTGCTTGTTCCAAACAACCACAATTCTCTTTGCTTTAGCCATGACATCTTTAGCCTTAGCCATTCAAGGTAAAAGGTCAACAGTAAGTGGAGAGAAAATTTCCTTGAAAATCTAGAATTTCTAGGACCTTAGGTACCAGCTTGTCTCCTTAGTTCAGTGGTCCTCAAAGGTTACTATTAGTAAAACCACTTGGACAGCTCTTTAACATGTGGATTCCCAGACACTGCTCAGAGATTGTAACTTAGATAGAGTGAGCTAGGGTTGAGGAATCTGTACAATGTAGAATTCTACACACTGTTCAGACATTGTGATTTAGATAGAATGAGCTAAGGTCTAAGAATCTGTAATGCGCACCTGCAGGGCTGCTGCCCTTATGCCATAGGATTTTGTCCTGTGAAATAGAAAAAGGTGGCCTTTCTCACAGACATGGCTTGGTGAGCACGTAGCTGCTTCGGTGAGAATTCGAAAAACAGTCTATCTTTCTCCAGGGTGATGAAGCCCATGCTAGGCCCTCCCGCATTCCCAGGAGCACATTTCAAACTAGCTCCTCTCTCTTCAGGTGCAGGCATGTGAAGTATCCTGGGCACTTCACTAGATTCTAATGCCAGTGGCCTTGCAGAGCACACTTTGTAACCCACGGCCAGTGGCGTTATTTTTCTTCTGTTACTAATAACTACAGATCCAATTTAATTCAGCAAATATTTTATTGAGTGCCAGGATGTGTAAAAGTCTTGTGCTGGATTTGGTAAGGGCTAAGGAGATGCCTGAGGTTTCCTTTCTGTGGCCAGCAGTTCTACCCATTGCGGGGTGACCACACAGCTGTTTTGTTCTATACCATCTTTAACCCCACAGGAGCAGAGAGAGTGATAAAAAAATTGGCAGGGGCCACCTTGGAAAATGCAGGAAAAGTAGGGGCAGGAGGAAGTGAAATGGGAATCTTGGTGGGTGAGCTTGGGAGAATGAGACTAGAATATGTTTCTTTAGGAAGGTCTTTCTGTGGAATGGTCTCAATGTCAGGAAATCTTGCAGAATTTGGTTCATATTTTAAACATCTTAATTTTATCTATTAGTTAAGAATCAATCTTGTATTTGTCTCTCTTTTCTATGAGCACCTCACTCCTGAGGACAGCCCACTATCTTATTAAAATACATTAATATTAATATAATACATGATATTAATTACAGTAATATTAATACATATTATTAATATTGATTAATCCAGACACGACATATTATTAAGATTTTTCTCTTCTTTCTACTGTTTATTGATGTTAAATTTCATTTTTTTGCTTTGATTGAAACATTTCCATTTCATAATCTCTCCATCTCTCTTTATACATATTAATGAAGCACCAGAATTTAATTTTGAAGCATTCTAGTCTGTTTTTCTTACTTTCATAGTGAGAATTCAAGGATTCTTATAACTCATTAGCTAAATCTACAAAATTCCATATCTTGTTTCTAAATATTTTAAATGGATAAAATAGAATATTTGTAAAGCAGAAAGAAATTAGACCAGCATAAGTCAACATGCATACGTATTGAAATAAAGAGTGAAATTAATGATCATGTTACTAAATACAATATATATAATATGTGTTTGCTGCAGACAGCAGCAGTTGATGAGGATTCAAGGCTAGGATCTTACACTACTTTGAAAAGCCTGGCATTTGGCAAAATGCTTAGCACGAAATTGTTGAATTTGACTACATGTATAAATTTAAAGCAATTAGATAAGAAAACCTTAGTCTTTTAGCTGAAACTCAAAATATAACATGCTAAGAAAAAAACAAGAAGATCAAATAACTTTTAAAGAAAGCTTTTTTTTTTCAATGCTAAGTTTTTAAAAGAAGTTCTTACTTGTACTTACAATTAGTAAATAAGGTTCAGAGGAGGAAATGTCTTGTGTCCTGGGAGAGAATCTCACCACAAATGAAAACTACTGAAAGGGGAGAGGCAACTGTGTTTCTATCGCAGTGCATAGTACAAAGAACAGTTTCAGACGCTCTCATTGGCCAGCGTAATCCAGCAGAAGTGGTTTCAATGTGTGTTTCTCTTATCTGGAGAATGAATATATCTCTTGCCAAATAAGGTATGTTCCTTTTCCTATATTGTGTTAGGTACACTGATCTGTCTTTTCGGTGGGGAAAGAATTTAATTCATTATATAGTTTGATTGGTTTTACATGTCTGGCAGAGCTTACTGTTTTTTTTGTGTGTGTGTTTGTTTTTTGTTATCTTTGTGGGGAAAAGAGAAGATCATTATTGTTTCAGATTATATAGTAGTTGGCATCTCAAGTACCCTTTAATGGTATGAGCTTACAGATACTGAATATTAAAATAGGCCAAGCATTTCAATGATTCGTTGATGACTTTGATAGGCCTTGTTTTTCCAATTTTAGAAGTGAGGAAACAAGCTCAGATCCTTGAGTTGATTTTCAGAGGCCACACAGCTAACAAGTTACTCACTTAGGATTTTAGCTTATGTCAGCTCAGCTCCAAACTATGGTTCTTTTTAGAACGTTACTTCCAATGTCTTTGTACCTTTTTAATTATTCTTCTTATTGGTGGTATTACTATTTGTTTCTTTTGAAATTTTTGTTCATAGTCTTTGAATTTCTGATTCCATAGTTTAAATTGTCAAAAGACAAAATTACAACAAATTTAGTTTAGAAGATGTAATTGTCTTTAATTTGCAATTCCAGAATCAAGCAACACATCATTCTATAAAATAGAATGAATGTTCTGGTGAGCTAAGCAGAGAAGTTTGACTTTATAAACAGAGAAGGGCTGAAGAAAGCAGAAACAGAGAAAACAAGCTAGATGGGTTGTTTCAAAGTTACTTTCCTTATAAGACTAAAACAGAGAGGACTTCCTTACAACACTGACTCAGGTTGACTGCAATCTCCTGTGTTTTGGAAACTGGCCCATTTCAAAGTTCAGTTTGATTATATGTCACTTAGCACAAGTGACTCCATTCTGGTTTGGTCTGATCTTCTGGGGCCTAAAGCAGGAGGCTAGTCCATAACAATGGCCTCTCATAAACTTTGTTTAACAAAACCTTTCAGAAATGAGAGTTGGCTGGCACAGTGGGAGTCCCAGGTGGAGGACTGCTTAAGGTCAGAGTTCAAGACAAGCCTGGGCAACACAGTGAGACCCTGTCTCTGAGAAAAAAAAAAAAAATTAAAAAATTAGCCAGACATGATGGTAAGTGCCCATAGGCCTGTAGTCCCTGCTACTTGGAAGGTTGAGGCAGGAGGATTGCCTGAGCCCAAGAATTTGAGGTTACAGTGAGCTATGTTGTGTTACCACACTCCAGCCCGAGTGACAGCAAGACCATGTCTCTAAAGACAAAAAAAAAAAAAAAAAAAAAAAAAAAAAAAAAAATTAAGAAATGAGAGTTGCCAGCTTTCCTATCATTCACTCTGAAGTTTTTCCCTGTCATTCACTCTAAAGTTCTTGGGGATGGGAAATCTTTCCCACTAGAACAAGGCTATTGTGTGGGGTTGTACAGTGAGAATATGTGGCATTATGGCAGACTCTAAGTGCTTAGAGTCCCTTTTCAGTCCCAATTCCTAGCTGCCATCTGCTAGCCACTTAACATTTCTATGCCTCAGGTTCCTTGTCAAATGAGGGTAATAATTGCACCTACCCCACAGAATTGCAGGGAAAATTCAAAAAATTAATACATGCAAAACATTTAAAACAGTGCCTAACACATAATCAATGTTAGGGAAAACAAAGAAACAAAGAAATCTAAAGAAGGACAAAAAAAAAGAGAAATGTGGAATTCCAGATAGCCTATTTTCTTCCGAATACTATGTATAAACTCCACAATAAAAAGATGGCAACATGGTCAGGTGTAGTAACTCACACCTGTAATCCCAGCACTTTGGGAGGCCAAGGCAGGAGGATCACTTGAGCCCAGGAGTTTGAGACCAGCCTGTGCAACATAGTGAGATCTCATTTTTTAAAATAAAAAATTAAAAAATTGAAAAATCAAAAAGATGGCAACAAATGTATACTAAATAGTTATTTATTGTATTAAAGGGGGAAAGTACATTTTAAAAATCAGTAAGCTTGGCCGGGCGCAGTAGCTCATGGCCTGTAATTCCAGCACTTTGGGAAGACGAGGCAGGCAGATCACCTGAAGTCAGGAGTTCGACACTAGCCTGACCAACATGGAGAAACCTCGTCTCTACTAAAAATACAAAATTAGCTTGGCGTGGTGGCGCATGCCTGTAATCCCAGCTACTCAGGAGGCTGAGGCAGGAGAATGACTTGAACCCGGGAGGTGCAGGTTGTGGTGAGCCGAGATCGCGCCATTGCACTCCAGCCTAGGCAACAAGAGCCAAACTCCGTCTCAAAAAAATAAAAAGTATGGCCAGGCGTGGTGGCTCATGCCTGTAATCCCAGCACTTTGGGAGGCTGAGGCAGGCGGATCACCTGAGGTTGGGAGTTCGAGACCAGCCTGACTAACATGGAGAAACCCTGTCTCTACTAAAAATACAAAATTATCCAGGCGTGGTGGCAAATGCCTGTAATCCCAGCTACTTGGGAGGCTGAGGCAGGAGAATTGCTTGAACCTGGTAGACAGAGGTTGCGGGGAGCCTAGATTGCGCCATTGCATTCCAGCATGGGCAACAGAGCGAGACTCTTGTGTCAAAATAAATAAATAAATAAAAATTAAAATTAAAAAAAAAAAAAGAAAAGAAAAGAAAATTTGTGAAGCCACACCAGCAGAAAGAAATGAGGACAGAATACAATGTAATAGGAATTAACTACTGGTAAGATTCCCTGTGGGTTGGGAAAGTTAATGATTTCTTTCTATATGAAGCAAACTTTGAAGGATAGGTTTCAAACTGGTGATGATGCAGAGGTGGAATAGAATGAGCCAAGATTAAGAGGCAGGACTCAGCAGAAGAGACAGGTAACTACTTTGCTGACCCAAAATCTTGACTTATGAAGATAATGGGATAGACTTGAAATAGGGACCATTCCGGAAAAACTGTCCACTTTACATATCTTGAATCTGTAAATATTAAAATTAGGACCTCAAGGTTAACATGCCCCCATTGAAACCATCAGTTCTCATCCTCTGTCACACACACCTCCTAACCTTCTCCACCTCAGTAATTGGCACCACAGTCTACTCATTGATTAAGCCAAAAGCCTAAAAGTCATCCCTCACTTCCCAACCATTCAACTGACTAGAGCTGTTGGTTTTACCTCTGACATGTGTAACTAATCCATCTGCTTTTCTCCGTCTCCACTGTCATCCTCTGTAACTCTCATCTGGACTGTTGCAAAAGCTTCCTTGTTTGTCTCCCTGCCTTCATTCCTGCCCTCCAACATAGCAGCCAGGATCATCTTTCAAAGATGTAAATCAAATTTTGTAACTCCGACAAAACCACTCCAATTTCTTCCCCTTGCACTTGGAATAAAATCCAATTTCCATCATGGTCATTCTCCATTTGCACTGGCCTTCCTTCTGTTCCCGAAACAAAGCTCACTCTTCCTTAGAACCTTGCACCTGTGGTTTCCTCTGTCTAGAATGTTCTTATCTGTCTTATCTGAACTCTTGTTCGGGCCTCGACATCTTTCCTTCAGTCCTACTTGAAGTAGGTCCTTGTTACCCTTCATCACATAACTCTGGCTTTTTTTTTTTTTAGGCCAGGGGCACTACTTAACTTTATTCTGTCACCTAGGCTGGAGTGCAGTGGTGCCATCATAGCTCTCTGCAGCTTCAACCTCCCAGGCTCAAGTGATCCTCCCACTTCAGCCTCCTGAGTAAGTGGGACCACACCACCATGCCTGGCTAATTTTTAAATTTATTTTAGAGATTGGAGTATCCCTATGTTGCCCGGGCTGGTCTTGAACTCCTGGGCTCAAGCGATTCCCCTGGTTTGGCCTATCAAAGTGCTGAGATTAAGCCAGCACTTTAAGAGGATGTAATCCCAGCGATTTGGGAGGCTCAAGCAGGGGGATCATTTTCCATCCCTTTCCCTTTCCTTCTTCCTTTTTGATTTTTTTGACAGATTCTCACTCTGTTGCCTGGGCTGGAGTGCAGTGGTGCACTCTTGGCTCACTGCAACCTCTGTCTCCTGGGTTCAAGTGATTCTCCTTCCTCAGCCTTCTGAGTAGCTGGACTATAGGCATGTGCCATCATGCCTGGCTAATTTTTTTTTTGGTATTTTTTGGTAGAGACGGGCCTTCACCATGTTGGTGAGGCTGACCTCGAACTCCAGACCTGAAGTGGTCCACCTGCCTTGGCCTCCCAAAGTGCTGGGATTACAGGCATGAGCCACTATGCCTGGCCCTATTTTCTTATTCATTTTATTTCTCTTCCACTTAGTAGATACTTCATATAATTTGCAAGGAAGATCTAACATGTATTGCTAAGATTCACTTACATCCTTGCATGTAGTTATAGACCATTTTGTGCATTCTTTCTTTTTTTTCTTTTGGAGACAGGGTCTCGCTCTATCACTCAGGCTGGGGTGCAGTGGTGCACCACGACTCACTGCAGCCACGACCTCCTGGGCTCAAGTGATCCTCCCACCTCAGCCTCTCGAGTAGCTGGGATTACAGGAATGCACCCCCATGCCCAGCTAATTTTTGTATTTTTTTTTTATAGAGACAGCTTTCTCCATGTTGCCCAGACTGGTGTGCATTCTTTGCTCCAGCCGGGAGAGCTCCCTTGGAACTGGGTGCTCCCGCTTGGGAAAGAAGCGGACAATGGGATGGCCACCCTACTGAACTCCTTCTGTGGTTCATAGACCATGATGTAGAGAAGGTTTCATACACCTCTTCTTGGCTCTTGCATATTGTTACAATCATTGTATTTAACCTAGAGTTAAGTTGAGAAAACTGTATGGACCCATCATCCAGCTTCAACAATTTTCAACTATGGTTAATATTATTCAGTCTATTGCCACACCAAATTGTTAGTTCTTTCTCCCTGGATTATTTTGACACAACTTCTGGACATCATATTATTTCATTAGTTAATATTTTAGTATACA